AAAAAAAAAAAAAAAAAAAGGAAAAAACTTTTCCCATCATTCCTCCCACTATTATTGTATCCCATTATAAATATCCGTGTCTGCCAATTATTACACCGCTGCACTTCCCTCGATGACCCGAACAACGTGCAGATCCAATTACTTCAAAGATCCGCGGTAGAGTTTAAAAAAAAAAAAAAAGTTTCGAGTAAAAGAAAGAAAAAAAAAATGATAATGTCATTGCAAAAAATCTCTTACGGTTACGCTCTACCCAATGGACGTGCATTTGCTCCTCTCGTCCTCCCACTCGTAACCAAAGAAAAAGAAAAAAATCGACAGATCGGCAAGTTAAGATCAAGTGTTGCTGATGTCTCGCCGTGGGTGGAGGTGATGGCCGATGAAGGTTGTGGAAGAGTGAAGGTAGTCGGACTCTCCTTGTTATTTATAACTCGCGTATTTATGTAAAGTAAATCAAGCCGGTGGGAACGCGAGCAGGGCGAGAAAGAGGGAGGGAAGAGAGAGAGAGAGAGAGAGAGAGAGAGAGAGAGAGAGAGAGAGAGAGAGAGGGAATGGGAGTAAAAGAGAAAGAGAAAGAGAGAAGAAAAACGCGATGGCTGCCACGAGAGATTTTATTAATGACCCGCCGAGTTTGATCTGCCGCTACAAAGCCACCTACCACCACCATCCTCATCGGCAACGACCTACAAGCTACAACTACTTACAACCTTATGTACCATCATCTCCACCTTCAAGAAGACTCGACGACACTGGACGTTTATTTCCGTCGTTGAGTCTAGCACTTCTTTACCTAATCCCTCCTTCGCATTCATCATACGCGCTTTAGTCCCTGCAGACACAGGGAGAGAGAGAGAGAGAGAGAGAGAAGGAAAGAGGGAGAGAGACCAGTCTTACACCTTAAAATTGAAGAGTACTTGGCACTTGGTACGAGGGACGGGGAGGGAGAGTAGCGACACCACTTTGAGAAGAATTCTTGTCAGATGGCGCTAGTATAGTCGCGTTGTCGTCGGCTGGTAGAGACAAATGGGCGTGTACACCGTGAAAAGAAGAGAAACGTTAAATGTAATAAAAAGAATTGCCAAGACTCGGGCTGCTGGGAGGCGGAATTCCATTCATTTCTTTTTTGTCAGGGTAGACAGCCACGGTGAGATGAAAAGTGGACAAGTGGAATTGAACGGAATGGAAAAGGCCGTAAGACGAGAATCGTAATATTGTAATAAATATAGCCAAAGGGGATTCCCCTGCGTGTGTCTTTAGCCTCTAGGAGATTCCTAGGGTTATCGCGTGCTTATCGATTGGGATGCTGCTTATAGTTATTATTATTAAGTTATAATTATTAATAGCGTGGGAAGGGCAAACTTTGGAATATTGGGATATTCTTAGAACTTTGTGCTTATCTTCTTTCTACGTTACCGACTTGCCAGACGGAGAGAGAGAGAGAGAGGGA